CGGGAAGTGCCACCGGAGTGTCACCTAGACGGACTCAGTGCTGGCGGGGCTGGAGGAGGGCAGTTTCGACACTGCGGGGTGGGGGCGCGGCTGGGCCCATCGGCTGCCAGTGTGAATGGAACTTGCCAGGGACCAGAGCCTCCTCACCCGCCCCAGGCTTACCACGTGCCCCACGCGGGGAGGACGTGCTGGGACTGTGGTGCTCACGTGATCCTGGCAGTGGGCCGGGAATGGTCAGAGTCACGTGTCGGCGGGGCGAGTCTTCCAGCCCAGGAAACAGAAGCCAAGCATGCTTTGTGACTGCTCCTAGCCCGCCGTGGGAAGCGGAACCTTCCCCTGTGGGTCCGTTTTACCAAGCATCTCTGTGCTGCTATGGCCCACGCCCGTAGTGTCCATCTCGTTGGCCCTGGTCAGCCTGCTAGGAGCTGAGGGTAGTCTCTGTCACGCCAGACAGTAGCACAGGCTGAGGCACGGGGTACATGCCCCACCACAGCATTGCCAGGTAAAACAGAGGAGACCTAGTGAAATTTGAATTTCGGGTAAACATCGGAAGATGATGGCTTTGTTTATCTGAAATTCAAATTTAACTGAATCTGTCAACTCTTCCCTAAAAGGCTTGATGATTGCTTTTAGAAACAAGAGTTTCTAGGTTCATGGGACATAGACATTTTAGATACCAGACTCACTTGGAAGTTTTTTTTTTAATTATTATTATTTTATAGAGGTTTTTGCTATAGGGCCTGTGTGCTCTCCAGAAAGACAGAGAGAGACAGAGAGACCAAAAGTGAGAAATCATCCCCCAGGGGGGATGGCCACGCCACAATCCCTTCTCCTCCATTCTCCTCTCGGGATCTTGGGCACATATGCACACTTGCCTGGCTGATTTTAAGCCACCGGGTCTGGGACTTGAACTGTGGTCGACTACATGGGAATTCAGCAACATAGCCATTACACTAACTGCTGGTCCCTCACCTGGAAGTTTTGAGTGGTACAGAGATTAGGAGCCTGGGCTCTGGGTCAGACTGCTCAGGTTTGAACCAGCACTCTCACTAACGATGCGGCCTCAAGCAAGTTACTTCCTTGGCCAGACCTCAGTGTTCTTGCCTGAGAAGTGGGCATGGTGATAGTCCCTAGCTCATGAGTGAGGAGTCAGTGAGATATTATCTGGAAGTGCTAGCATGATACTTGGCACATAGCCGCCCAATAGGGTGGGGACTGCCTTTGCTTTTGTTGTTTTGGGCACTGGATGGGGCACAGGTGCTCCTCTATAGCTGCTCCCCCAATCACCACCTTTCTCTCTCCAGGCTGGCCTATCTGGGGAGCTCCCCCTGGCCTTACCCTCAGTATGGTCTCCCAGCTCAGGTGAGGTTTGCTTTGGTCCATCAGGCCTACATCCCTGCCTGCACGCAGTCCGGCCTCCATCCAGTGCAGCTTAGTTTACACACACAGACGCGCTCGGATAGAGTATCCTGTAGTGGACTTTGTAACAGGACATAGATCATTACAGATGGGACTCAGGTCTTACAAAATATTTTAGAAGGTAGATAAATTAGATCATGAAAAGTGCATAAGGGACATCAATTATGCAGGAGGCCGAAGAATGATTATAAAGTGATCTGGCCATAGTTTTTGCCCATGAAACATTTAACAGTGGCCATTAAAATAGAAAACATCCCTCGCTTCCTATTTCAGAAAAGTGGGATGGCCTGGGATGCAGGCCTTGCCCAAGGGAGGCTGTAAAGTACAGATGACCTGCTTTGCGGTGAGCACTGGGGGAGTAAAAGGCCACTGGGCAGTTTAGAAAACCAGGACTGGGCTCGTTTGGGTGGAGAAGAATCCTGGGGCTCTTGGAGCACAGAGGGCCTGCTGAGGGTCCAGGTGGGTGAATTGTCTGGCTTTCCTGACCTGAGGCAGGTGGCTGCAAGCCCAAACATCAGAGTGAGTGGTTAGGGGCCTGGTAACTCGAGAGTCCTTAAATCCCCCAGAGTTGTCTTGCTTGCCCTGCCTCCTGCCCCACAGCAGTTCAGACCTGTCTCAGTCGGCTGGCAACTGCCAAACTCACCTGGTCTGGATGCAGCCGTGGCCATGGGCATCTGGGAGAAGGGACCGATATCGTGCCCTTTCTTATAAACCACCACGTTGCCTTTCTCCATCAAGCTCTAGCAAACATGCTGGTCCTGACATAGCCCTAGTTTCTGTCTCTGAAAGAACCTGGACCTTCTCTGAGCCATACCACTTTGCCTTTAATCTTATTTTTCACTCAGGGTCCCACAAATGTTTCTCATTCTTCCCTGGACACTGTACCATGCTTCTGGAAGCAGACTCTTTCTTCCTCCTCTTGCCCGTGTGGGCACTGAGCTGCACCTGTGGGTGCTCAGTCTAGGGGGCAGGTGAGGAGAAATCTAGGCTCTCCTTCCCTGTGGCGGGTCACCCGTGCTTATCCCATGTCTTTTGAATCAAGCTGTTTCTACCTGGAGTCCTTTCTTCTGTCCCTTGGAGCACAGTCACAAGCAGCCATGAGCATGAACAGGGCACAATGGCAGTGAGTACAGCACGTGCTGGCCCCAGCAGCATGTCCTCGGGGAGCTGAGTACAGTTTGCAAGATGGAGTGTGCTTGCGGGGCTGAGGGCGGGAAGGGAGGCCGAGCAGGTGGTCGGTGCACCCTGTGCTGGGAACAGGTCTTCTCCTTCCTGACGTCAGAGGAGCAGAAATATGTTCCTTGTGGGCTGGGTTGTCACCACCCCTGTGGCTCTATCTCCTTGGGGCCTCTGTCCTTTCTCCCCCAAAGTCACCATTTCAAGGAGTCCTGCTGCTTTCCGCTTTGCTGCTAGGGAGTGGAGAAAGCGGCGATATGACTTACGCATTGCTATCACAGGTTTAGGGTTTCGACACATCCTACCCCACTCTGCTACTCATAAGTGGTGTGTCATTTGAAGAAATTACTTATCCTCTGCAGCTCTCAGCTTACTCAGCTGTAGAATGGGGATAAAA